AATTGTTTGAAGAGGTTCAGCAAATCTGCCTGCTCCCTTGGAATTCTCTCTGAATAATAGACTCTGTTGGGAAGTGCAGGTGGTTCAAGGTAACTGAAATCAATCACATTGGACTCGGCATCAACATGAGCACGGCTGAATGCATCAGTGGGTGTAGTATAGAAGTCATCTTCACCAGACTTAGGAGTCTGCGTGGGATTCATACTACTAATTAATGAAGAGGCATCTTCAGACTGCTGGTGCTTACCCTTGTTCTTTGATGGCAGTGCAGGATGATGCCCTTCTGATATAGCAGCTGTAACTGATGCCTCTGATAAATTACCATGCAAATTGCCCTCAAATGGCTGCAAAGGAACAGGATATGGTGATTCCAAGGGAAAAACTTTTCCTGGGTCATTGCCTGTATGAATGAAATTATCACCCTTTTTTCTCACCATTGTTGCTGGCACATCTGAAATTTGTACCTGCAACTCACTGAATGCTTGTCCATCATTGATGATTCCTTGGTTAACAAGACCATGAGTGGGCATAGAAACTGGAACCTCTCTAAGATTGCGAGCGGAGATGTTAGAAGGATCATGACCATGATGAAGTGGATATTGACCAGCTTCCCCATGGTGAATGACAGGGTCATCATAAAACAATGGATGGGTTTCATAAGCATTAGAGGAGGGCGGAAGCATTGGTTGTGAAGACTGAATAGTCAATGATGATTTAACATTATCAGTCAAGGAAGAAGTGTTAACACCAAATGAGTCTATCAGACGTCTGTTGGTCTCCCTCTCATTATTTTGTCCATTCAATTCATGTAGGTTATTAGTAGAGCCGTTTTCACCACGAAGGATCGAGTTGTTTCTTGAACCCACGTCCATCCCGTTAACAGCAACTAAATACTGGGTTTCGGAATCACCATCAATGCTTCCAAGACCAAACTGAGTATCATCCAAATCATTTATAGAGAACAGAAACATCCTAAGCTTTGATGATCCTCTTCCGCCTTGTAGATCATGACATTCCTCCATCATATTCCGCAGATCCTCATCAGAAGATACTGAAACTAATGCATCAAGATCTTCTCCAGGGAGCTGATACTTTATCACATGAACTTCACTATAGATTGATGATGCTTTCTGCATAAGCTCCTGAAAACGTATGTCCCTTCTAATACTAATAATACGTGTGTCACCGCCAACATATCTAAGCTTTCCATCACTAGGCCGTGGCAATATTCCACCCCCAAAGCTGCATAGAACCTTCATCTTCATTGATGCGCTTTCAGAAGCAATGGAAGAGGCAGTACCATGAAGGACTCGGTAATTGTCTTGATTAGATGAAGTTCTAGGAATTGATCGAGCTGAACCATAATTACTTCTGTCCTGATGTTGAGAAGAGTTTCTTCTGTCAAGCTCTTTTGGACCCTTTTCAACCTTTGTCATCACAGAAATATCTGATCCACTTTCAGATCCTGTATGGCCTAAAATGCCTTTCAACTCCATATAGCCTGTGGAATAATTGGGATCATCCACAACATTTGGAAAGGAAGGCTTCCTGAGATTCACCCTGTCTCTCATAAACTCGAGAGCAAATTCCTCACCAGTTTGTATGGAGTAATTAACAGGTTTATTTTCTGACACATTATACGCCGGAGGAGGTCGTGCATTGAGAATGCTATCCCGAAGGTCTTGCGGGACCAACTGTGGTGCAGAATGGAATTCTTCATTTCTAGGTTCCATGGAATATTGGTGTTTCTGCATCCTTGATTATCAAATCAAAGCCTCATTTGTACAGTTAAATGCATGGATTTACTGTAATGCCACAGTACTGGAAAGACACTTAACATCATGTTCAAATAATGCACCCAATACTGTAAATTCAATTTCCAAGTGCCACAGACAGGACTGCTAACTACTCCAGAAGTTTGAATTTCTTACCCATGGCAATGGGTCAGAAAGAAGCTTTAAGAATGCTCAAGTTTATGTCACCATAATCAACACATGAAGAAGCTTCCACAATCTTAAGAATTTTCAAGACGAGGTACTTTCTTCAAAGATCAAACCACCAACGGAATATGTCACCCTGGGTGCATGATGAAATTTATAAACTGCTTAGCATATAAAATGTAGCAAGATATAGAAATAACTACATAATGGGAAAGGATACAATCATACAAGATAAAAGATCACAATAATTATATCCAATAAAATCAAATAGAAATATATCACAAACATATTAGAATTGTCATAATATTCAATATCTCGTTACTATTATAACACTAGCAATTTTATTTACCTGCCATACATGAAAAAATAAAATATAGTTTTAGTCTCTTATAATTGTTTGAAGAACAAAAAATCTCACGAAACTCATCTCTCTAACAATCTTAAGGTCTAATATTGTTCTTTCATGATCTTTTTTTGTTAGAAATCAGATAGTAGACTCTTGTCCTTGGATAAAATAAGTTATTTATCTTGTACATACCTTTCAATCCCTAGTTCATTCCTTGACTACTTCTCATTACTTATACTACATAAAAGGAATTTAAAGATTTACAAACTGGACCTTGTAAAAAATTGAAGACTTTGTTATCTAATAGGCATTAGCCAAAATATTGTCAAGTTATAGAACCATAGTAGAGGTAGTGAAGCAAAGCCCAACACCAACCATAAAAAAAATGGAGGAAAAGATAGTACCCATCATTCTTTTAGCAAATCAAACCACATGCAAAGATCAAATGGAGGAATAAGTGAATAAACAATTTAGGTCAAAATAAATATAAAAAAAATACCCATATATCAGATCACTTCTTCTCAACAATATCAGGATTATATAATCCACAAATTATCGAACTTGGGTCTTAGCTTCAACCTTTTCCCATCAAAGCACATCATGGAGGATTATAAGTGCACAAATCATGTTTGATTCAATTAAGAGCAAAAGACATCATCAATCATAAATTCAGAGCTGAATCAGGAAAAAGGATGAAAAAGAATCAACTAAATACCTGCCTGATGATGGTTTTGAGCTTGATATATGTATGGCTCAAGAAGGTTTCAGAGGAAGAGCCATGGCTAGTATCTGGGGCAAAACTAAAATCAAACGAAAAGGTATTTATGAGAAAGAAACCAAAAGGGAATTCAACTTTGTCTAACCCATGTTTTGATTTATCTTTTTTCTTTTGGGTATCAAACAGTCTGAATCTACTTCTACTTCAATGATTCTTTTGCAGCAAAATGACAGCACACACACACTCTCTCTCTCTTCTTTCTCTCTCTATGTGTGGATTTGAGAAGCTGTGTGTTGTGTTCCTTTTGTGGAATAAAATAAATTTGTTGTGTCATCAAAGAGTCAGAGGAGTGAAGAAACAGTTATGTCCCACAATTTGCACCCTATTTTTTATGATTCTTACAGCAACAGTTCGTTAATCGTTGGCCACGTGTCGTTTTTACAAGGGGAGAAATTATTGTGATTATTATATATATACTGAAAAAATAATTAAAAAGGTCTGAACAACTTGTTGAAAAACGTTAGAATTGACGAAGGTGAACATTTTTAAAAGCATGTAACAAGACCAATTAAACAACCCTGTTCGAGCCGATGAAATAAAAACCTGTTGAATGAAAAAGGAAATTAATTATATCGACAATGTTTTGTATAATTAAAAAAAAATATAATAATGTTTTAAATTTGTTTTCAACTAACATTTTAATGAGGTAAACTTATGATAAATGCTATTAGTTAAATGTTTTAAATATAAATTGATAATCTTTTATTATTTGGTCGAATTTTTCTCATTCCGAATATTACACACTAGTTTATTTATTTATTTTTCCGGATTCCGTTTTTAAAACAGAACTTGTTGAAATATTTTTTTAAAAAAATTCTATACAATGATGAATCAACTTCTCATTGTCTTTGAGAATTTTCACAGGTATAACTACAAAACTTTTAATTTGGAATAACAGGTAAAAAAATTTCTCAACAGCTTCAAGATTTGAACCCTTGATATTACTTGTAAAATTTGTCCAGGATCATAATTCTCTTTGCCTGTGACTGGACATTGCTAAACATGTTTCGATCTAATTAAAATGGATCATAAATATGAAACCAAATTATAACACGTGAATTATTACTCTAGCAATCATCTGAATACAACCAAATGAAGCAAATTTCATTGTCCAATTTGAGTTAATTTCGTGTACCATTGAACTCCCCAAAATGTGAATTGGCTATCGACACATGAAAATTGAGCCATGGCTACAAGATAACAAGGTAAAAACATGAAAAGGAAAAAGGAAGAAAGTTCAATTTCTCAAACTGGATTGTGATTTGTGGATACTCAATTGGTCATGAAACAAATGATTGCAGTGTATTAATTTTGTTTGGTTTAAATATATTTTTAGTCTCTCAAATTTAAGATAATTCTGTTTTTGGTCCCTCAAATTTAAAATTATTGTTTTTAGTCCCTGTAATTTCAAAAAATCTTATTTTAGTCCTTATATTCAAATTTTGTTAAGAAATTTATCAAATATTATTGCATAAAATCTACCTATTAATATCTGTATCAGTGAAAATATCACATTAAATCCAGTTGATGTTGCATAACTGTATTAGTTAGTCACTTTCAAATATGTTATTGATGACCTAAGGGACTAAAATAAGATTTTTGAAAATTACAGAGACTAAAAATAACAGTTTTAAATTTGAGGGACCAAAAACATATTTAAGCCATTTTGTTTTTATCTGTTACAGTAGTAAACTCATTGACTCCAAGGCCCTATCTAGGAATTTTGATACCTTAGACAAAACTTAACACAAGAGTTATGTTAATATAGCCTAATAATTTTGATGTTCTTTTTCTAGCTTTTTGAGCTGCAAAATTATTTATTAAAGTTTTATAATCAAGTAATTCTAACATTTCACTCTCAATAGATATTATTACTAACTCATTCAATCTATCTTGTAACATAGTTGATCTTAAATATGATTTAACCAATTTTAATTTTGAAAAACTTCTTTCAGTAGTCGCAATAGTTACAAGTAATATTAATAATATTCTATAAACAATGTATGTATTTAGAAAAAAACATGATCTTTTTATATAGTTCAATATTTTTAATAGTGTGTTAATTTCATTTGTTAGAATTTCTTTCAATAACTTTAATTCTGAAAATAAATCAAGACCATCAATATCAGAATGGTCCTCAAAACTCAAAATCTTTTCAAGATTGATACAATATTTTTTTAATTCATCTTCCCCTAAACTTTTAAATTTATTTGAATCAAATAAAAAATTAAACATGTTTTCATATTCTAAAAATTGTTCAAATTAACTCAATAGAATAAATATATTGATCTAATATATACAAAAAATAATTAATGCAAAAAATAATTTTCAGTAAAATGAGCTATCTCATCACTATCAATATCATCAAAATATTTTTTCCTATGAATTTTACGTTTTTCATTGAACTTAGGCTCTATATCCATTTCAATAATCATTTCTTTGGTAGATTCTAATGCAGATGCAAAATCATTTTCCCTATAATTTTTGAATTAATTTTTCAATTATTCTTTTTTTTTCTTTTCAAATCCAGATACATACTTTCTATTTGGCATATTTTACTAATTGGCTAAAATAAAAATAACAAGAAAAATAATTTTTAAAATTAAAAGAAGATAATGAAAAAATAAAACCTGGAAAGTAAAAATTTATATCTGTGAATGAAAATTTCTTTAAGTTATGGCTATGCACTATCACAGCTGAGTATCAAAAATCGAAACCGTTGTGACAATCACTTTGCTTGCACCTACAATGATAAAAAATAAAAAAATGAGATCTAAAAACTATAATTTGTAAATAAAAGTATTGTCCTAAATTATTTTTTTCTCATGCATTAATAATTAATTTACAATGTTTTAGAAGGATTTGATCTTAACTTTTCAAAGACACGCAATAAATCATGGAAAGAAGAAATCTTGTCACAATGACAAACTTCAATTTCAATAAAGAAGAATATGTGGTATTGATCTCCAGGATGACCCATGACAAGTTCACTATGCAATATCATGCAAGAAGTGCACTACAATGGATTGTTAATGATGATAACTAAGAAAATACGTTGATATTATTGAACCAACACCCAGAATTATACTAACTTAACAGTTTTAAGGACTTACAGAGTAAGAATCAACCTAGAAAAAAGGCAAAATAGGACCTTATTGCTCCCAATCAAGCTCTCAAATTAGAGGTGAAGAAGGAATTGAAAATGAGAATAGAGAGAGAATGAGAAAGAGATAGACTATAGAGAAAACAAAGAAGTTAAAAATCTGCCATTTATAAAATACAAAAGTAACAGTGATTGTTGAGTAACTTTTTATTTACAAAAACTAATAAATGAGTTGTAGTCTTTTAAGTAATTTTAATAATAAAAAAATAAGAGATATAAAAAATATAAGATGTCTTATAAAATATTGAACCTTATATAAAATATTATTATTTTTAAAAAAATCAATTTATATCAATAATACTATTATTAAAAAAAATTGGAGGCCTTATAAATTTGGGAGCTATAGGCATTGGCCTTAAGCTCTGATTGACTCCATGCTTCTAATTTCAAGATACAAGAACAAGGGAAGAGGAATGAGAAAATTAAAAAGAAAAACAACCTAGGGAACTAATATGACAACTTTGAATTTCTATTAAGGTTGTTGAATGAACAACAAAAGTTTAATCAGGCAAACATTGAATCATCAATAAAATAATAGTGTAATTGCCCCTGGCAACAAAATACAACCTTGGAGTACCATTCAATGAATAAATTTAACAGTATCCATTTTCATCAAGAAAATGCATCAACACCAACATCAACATCTGTTTCAATCATTTGGAAGCCTTCTGGCCCTGAGTTTTGGTTTGGCTAGCGGCCGCCGACATTACGCGCAATCGACTGGCAATTTCTGTGAATGATGGCCTAGCTGCAGGATTGGGTGCCCAACACTGCTCCATCAGTGTTCTCCATTCAGGATCACAATGATTTGGGATTGTTGGCCTTAATGTGTTATTCACAATTCCGCCTGTATAGGCAGGAAAAAAACATTAATAGCCTTATGATAAATTGATGATTAGTGGACTACATGAAAACTTGAACAAGTGAGATGAAATTTAGAACATTCTTTTAAGGCCATGTTTGGATACCTGATGATGAGCGGAATAGAATGAAATGAGATGAAACAGAATGGAAAGAAGTTAACATTCCATTGTTTCGATACTTTTATGATTGAATGGAGATAAAAAGAATGGTTCCATCTCAGACCCCCAAACTGGTTTTCATTAGATTCCATTTAATTCCATCCATATTTTAAACAATCCTTAAAATGGAACTCAGCATTGTACTACTTTATTCCATCTCTTTCCATCAATCCAAACATAGGAACATCATGAATGTCAAAGGTAAAGGCATACAGACACAAGTAATTTGACCCACTGCTCTAGAGCTTTGATCACATATATCATAAAAACCATAGTTTCCTAATACACATCTTTGGTTGATGCCAAGTCTTGAGTGTAAACCCTAGGATTTCTCCTTATTTTAATCTTGTCCTTCAATCTGATTCGTTATGCACATCTTCGTCTAATATACGCTAGTTCTTTTGCCAACTCAACCTTCCCCCATCTTAATTCTCAACTTTTGTTACCAATTTTACAAAAGCTGATACAGTCAGCATTTTAAGAAACTACAGAAGAAGATTTCCTAATAGTCTAATACCGTTACTTCTATGAAAAGTAGAAACCAATTTCAGGAGGATGCAGCAAGAATGTAGTTGCATAGACATGAAAAAGAACATTAAGAAAAAGATAATGCCAATGATTGCAATATGAACAAAAAAAAAGGATGATACCTATGATTGCACCATAGTGCATATTGGCATATGGTTCCTCACCGGTTAGAATCTCCCATAATACTATGCCAAAGGAGAACACATCAACCTACAAATCAAAATTCAATTTCAGCAACAAGATGAATATAAACAGAAACAGAGGTAATATACAAGGATTGTAAACTGAAATAATTTAATTTTCAGACATTCCTTTCCAGAAATTGAGGTGAAAGTTCCCAGAATCCCATATTCCCTCATGAAAAGATTCCAAAAGTACAAAAAGAAATAAACAAGAATATTAGTACCTTTAAAATGTTCAAACAAAATTAATTTTACTTAAATTTCTACCGTTAAGGCATAGTTATCAATCTTGGATAGGCAGCACATAGAAATCAACCCCAAATATGCTATAGCAGGATAGAATATAGATTATAGAAAGATGACCACTATTTCAAAAAAAAATTTAATACAAATTATATAATTTATACTATATACATATAAATGCTCAAAAGTTACTCAACATTTGGAACAGACGTGAGTCATAGTTCAGAACAGAGAAAAGAATGGTGGGTTGGTGCCACCGGAAATACTGCTAGAGTCAGGAGGGTGTTGGTTAGAGTGTGGCTGTTGTACAGTAGAAAGGACCCTGGGAAACTACCCAATTAGGGTTTTTAAAAGTTCTGGAAAGGGGAAGAGAAATATCGACTTTGCCCCTAAAATGCACCTCTAAAATGATGCTTTTTTGAAGGCAAAAAAGTTTTGAGGGAAAAAGATGAGTTTTTCTGAAATTCCTCACTCTTGTGCTGCTATAGGCCGCATTGTGGTCATGACAGCCACAAGCTGACACACTATTCAAACCTTGTAGCAGTCCACAGCCTCTCTTCATCGCTATGCCACTATAGCGCACTTTTAATAACTAAGGCTCAAAAATGAGAGGAAGAACATTGTTGCAGGAACTATGAAGTATCAAATATGAACTAGTTAAGAGGCTTTTGCCATCTGAGATGAAGGCCCTTTTAACATCTAGAAGAGAGATCATTACAACTCGGCTCCTTATTAAATTTCAATTCTTCATCATGTGATCATAGAAAAAGCATTTCATTCGGACAACTAAAAAATCTACCTTTTCTGAGACCTTGTTGCTGCTACCATTCAGCAGCTCTGGTGCCATCCAAGGGAGAGTCCCCCGCACACCACCAGAAACCAAGGTATTTCGCTTAATTTTTGACAAGCCAAAATCCCCAACCTGGAAAGACAAAATTCTTAGTCTTTTCAACTCTATTTTAAATGCAAGACATTTCTTGTTTACAGAAATCTGTATAAAAAATCTCAGATTAGATACCTTGCATATAGGCCGCATAGGATCTTTCATGTTTACCAACAAATTGTCACATTTTAAGTCAAAGTGTACAATATTTTTTGAGTGCAAATATTCCATTCCAAAAGCTGCATCCATTGCAATTATCAGTCTCTTACGACGATCAAGATACCTGCAATGAAATTAGATCCTTCAGTAAGAACATGAAATTCATCACCAAACATATATTTAGAGAGAGAATCTTTTATATTTGTGATGGGAATAAATTTTGACCACTAGATCTATCATTAATGGTTAAGATTAAAACATCAAGTTAAGATTAAAAAGCATACAAGTCATGTGAGATTTTCAAAAGGTCACGTTAATCTTTTAATTGGTTTAACATTAAATCTTGACCACCCTTTATCGTTGTATGACCAATACTTATTCCTCTTGCTCTTATATAAAAATGATTCTCACTAGATACATCCCCCCCCCCCACACACACATATATATGTGGAGAGAAAGAGATAGAGTGACTCAAGTGATAACAATTGCTTATAGAAGAACAATTAATTATAACTCTTAGATTAAAATAAAAAACTTGGATTAAAACACTAAACAAAACTATCATGTACTACCACCTTTGTAGTTGCCTCTATCATTGTAACCTATGAAGCACCGACTCCGACATGGACACTTGACACGACACAAACATGGACACTGCTAATGTCCAAAAAGTAGGACACGGGGACATGACATGTATATATAAGCTTTTCATTTTTTATAAGATAATAACTCTTAGAAAATGAATTATATCCCTTAAAAGCTAAAACATCAAGTAATTCTTATGAAAAAGTTGAGTCTTGCAATATTTATAAATAAGTTGACTTTTAATTTTTTTATAATAGGAGTTTTAGATAAGTGTTTAGCTAAGAGCAACAGAAATTGACTCACTCTCTTGATTCATGTTCAAGTCGTGTCAAAAAGGTGTTAAAATTGTGTCGAAGAGGTATCCGAACCAAAAAATAATAATTTTTAATTGTAACATGATCTAGAAGTATTAGACACATGTCATGGTGTGTCTGACAAGTGTTGTATCAAAAACATGTCGGACACACTAACATGGTATTCTATAGATGTGTCAGTGCTTCATATTTCACTGTCACAACCACCATCCTTGTTGCCACCACTAACAATGAAAATGGTAGTAGTCGTGTTGGTGATAGTGGTGGTAGTGGCAGCGGCAGAGGTTCCTATAATGGTGGTGATGACTATGGTAGCGGTGGCAATGATGGTGGTTTTAGCATTGTTGGTGGTAGTAATGATGACAACAGTGATAATGGTGATGGCGGTAACAGTTGCAACTTGCAATAACGATTGTGACAACAACGACGATGAAGGATGTACTTGGTAGTTTTTGTTTGTAGTCTTTTATAATTTGTCTATTTTAATCTAAAGGTTGTTATTAAGTGTTCTCAAATAAGCAAAGGTTTTCACTAGAGTTGTACCTAAACCCTTGGATTAAAATACAATTCAGACTAAAAATACTTACTTAAAACCACAAATACAATCACCACCTTCACTGTCCACAATCACCACAAGTATATATATATATATATATATATATATATATATGAAGAGGGATACTAAAGGTGTAAAAAAAAAAAAAAAACTAAGACAAGAGAAGAAGTTGACCAATTTTTTAAAGTAGGTCGAATATATATGCCCAACCACAAATATATATATATATATATATATATATATATATACATGAAGAGGGATCAAGTTACTTTAAGAGTTATTCCCCATCTTTACCGTTCATTTTCTTTTAATCTAACTATTAAAAAGTGAGTTACTTGTTAGAACCATTGGATTAATAGAAAATGAAGGGTGAGGATGGAAAGTAACTATTTCAAAGTTACTCTTGGAGTAACTTGATCCTTCCTCCTATATATATATATATATATATATATATATATATTATCATGTGTGAGATAGGAAATGTGATTGTTATCAAGGCATGACTTCCACTTATTCCGATAATAGCACTATACTAGTTAGTTTTTAAATACAATGATTTGAATAAAATAAATCAATATTTTAGGCCATTGGGTAATAACTAAATAATAGAATCCAAAATTTTCTCTAGGTGCATTACCTATCCTTGCGAAGTAATACATGCCTAAGAGAACCATCCACCATGTACTCTGCAACAGTGGCCATTGTTCCTCCTGGTCCATCCTGCACTACACCATAAAATGCCACCACATTTGGATGATGAAGCTTGGAAAGAATTTCAGCTTCTCGCCAGAATTCTACAGTCTGCGGGAAAAAATAAATATAATCTCAGATGCCTAAAACACTATCACAATTATTGAAGCACTTCAAGTAAATATAGTGAGAAGGAAAATAAGATGAATTAATAGGTAAGACATAATTTATAATGAAAAGAGAGTGAAGACCATCCAACAGAAATTAATTTATAAATTACCAGTCTCTCTTGCTCAGATGACCGACCAGTGAAGCAGATTTTCTTTATTCTTTTAATGGCAACATCTGTTCCTCGCCATTTTCCATGATATACAGTCCCAAAGGTACCGGAACCCAGTTCCTTCAGCTCTTCAAGATCATCATTCATTATGACCTAAAAAGTGCATTAGAATAAAGGAAGAAATGGATTACAGATTTTCAGGCCAGTGTTCAAGCAAAACAGTGAATGTGTGTCTGAAGCCTGTGAAGGTTTGTGAAGGCATATAAAAACAGCTAGATGGTCAGAAGCATATACTTCACAAGGTCAAATGAGAGAAGGACAAAGTCTAAGACAAATACCAAAACCAAGAACGTGATTGAATTGTCCATACCAAAGAATTTTAATAGCTGCATAGAGGCTATCAATAACTTTCACAATTTCTAATTCCCAACACGCACACACACAGAGCTACCTCATGTTAAAATTGCTGAAATTTAATATTCAGATCTATCTCAACTATTTTGGACAGTTTCTGTAATCATAACATTGATTATAGGAACCATAATTAGGTTCCCAAGTAAACTGTTATAAGTTTTCTTTTGAAGTAATTTGAAAAGACCATTTGCCAGAAAGAACTTTTAGGAAGTACAGAGAAAACAGAAAGAACAGGAGAGACACTTGACAAAGAATTTGACTATTTACTCTAGATACAAAACCTATTTTTCATTTGTTAAGTTTTGGTCCTGTAAAGCATACCCTTAGTTTTAATTTAAACACGTGGCAGAGGGAGGAAGAACAGCCAAATTATAAATAATATCAACTAATTTTTCAATTTCACCTTTAACATACCTTTTATTTCAACAAGGACTACCAAAAATATTGGCATACTGTCAAGATTTTTTTTGTCTCAGTAGAGGCAAGTAGTACTTTACAACTCAGAAAAGGTGAAGACTGCTTCAGACTATCTATTGGTCATTAAGTTAAACAGACATACACTGTATTGCATCATAACCAATGCAAAGAATAAAGAAACCTTAGAGCTAATTTCCCTTGAAAATGTTGCAACACAAACAGCAGACAACTGAAATCCACAGAGAGCAATGCTGAGTCTCCATGCACTGTCCATTCTGGCCTCACAAGGTTATGGGTTTTGCCACTACAATTCTATACCCAAAGGCAATTTGACTGACTCGATGACCAGATTTCATTCTCCATTTGAGTTCTATGTAACAAAGCTTGTAGCAGATTGGAAAATATGATGTATTCGCAAACATATTACATAAGAGTAAAATTGGAAACTTTCACATCATGTTTTGGGAAGGAAATTTCAAAAACATGTCCAAAATAAGAAGAAATCAACATCTACTGGTCCAAGAGAGACCGAAAGGCCATGTTCGTTGAGTGTTAAAACTGAAAGGAATTTTAAGTGACATTCTTCTAAATATAGGAGATGGAAAGTAGAAAAAGCACCGAGAGATTTTAATTGCTATCATAGCAACCTATGTGGCACTGATAGAATTTAAATGAAAATATGAGGGTAGGAATGGATTAATATGATAAGGTCATGCTCATCACTAAAATGAAAGCATGTGAAACTACTACAAACTTAACATTTGAACTCAGTTTAATCAAACCTCAAACCTCAAATGAAAAATTAAGAACCAGACAAGTATCATTCTCAATCCCATTCTTAGTATCATTCATTCATACACAAGAGAATAATCCATTTATAGAAGTCAGATAACCAGTAATTAATTTTCTTGAGCAAAATCCTCTTTAACTCCCCTTCCTACAATTTTACACACAAGAATAAGCATCTTACCTGAAAGGTACTTGGATCAAACTCTCCTAAAGAAGGATCAGGAGGAGGTAGATTGCTATTCCTTTTTTCAAACTTCCCAACCTGAGTGATAAGGACTTCTGTAAGAAGATAAACATATTTATACACAATCTGAAACCAAACTTAAAACCATACCTCATATTCTGAATCTTGTGCTCTTATGTGTTCCATCATAGCATCAAATTGCATACTTTCGGTGTTGTTCACTTGAGAATGACCATAATCTGACTTCCGTTCAGTGGTTTCTGCTCCAACCCTTCCATGTAAGTTTCTTATATTTTCTTCAACAAAATCGAGGTGGGACTCGGCATGGTTCAGAGAATTTTCATCAGTTGTTAAAGGTGTGACATGTTGATCCCTATTATCTCCAACCACTTTTCCTATTGCAGGTGAAAAACCAAGATGATCCTGATCCATAAGAGATACATTATCAATCCCCTCTTGGGCCAATTTTTGAAAATATGACCATCGTTTAGGTTCACGATTTTCCATGTTTACACTTAAGCCCGCTCCATCTGAGGTTAATGGATGCAGAATAGAGGGATCTTCTTCAAGTACTGCTTTAGAGAATATATCAGTGAAAAATTCACGGGGAAACCGATCATTAATATCAATAAGGATGTCACCTTGTGCTTGTTTGGAAACAACATTTGAAGGAAATTCTTCAGAATCATCTTTTATAGCTGCACTCCCATTTAAACTAACAGGTAAGGATTGCACATTAATATCGTCATTAGACTCCTTCACAGAGGCATCGCCCCAATCAACCTCTGGAAGATTGGATGCTGGATCATCAAGGTGCTTACCAGAGGAACCCTGGTGCAAATTAGGCAAGTCAGATTTACTGGCTTTTGTCTCATCAATCAGGGTTTTGTTATAGTTATTTTTACTATAAATTTCCATTTCCAACGCAACAACATTATCCTTATTTAACACATCTTTGCTTCCTTCATTGTCTGATAATACCCGCTTCAACTCAGGATTCACATGCTCAGTTAGCTTTGATTTCATCTGACCGCTTGCATCAGGAAGTTGTTTGTATATTTGGTGTTTCACAGCTCCATTATCAATGGCATAGCCATCTGCATGCAAGAGATTTTCTGTTACACCCAATTCCTCAGTTAGATTAGGCAGATTTCCATCATGTAACTTGTCACCAGATTCTGTACCTGAATCTGGTGGGTTGACGTCGGAAAGTAAATCTGAAACAAGGAACTGAGAACTGTGTGTATCATCTGATTTTGAGGACCGATTCAGCAACTCTACTTGTTCCCGTGAAATTCTCTCTGAATAATAAACTCTTTTAGGAAGAGGAGGAGGATGAAGAGAACTCAAGTCAGGTGCATTGGAGTGGGAATCAACATAAGCAGGACCAAATGCACTGCTAGATGTAGAAGTTTCTTCATAATCCTGATGCTTTTCCATTTTTGCTGGATGCAATGAATGTCCCTCTGGTGCAGTAACAACAACCGATGCTTCAGTAAAATTATTTTTCATGTAACCATTAACCAGTTGTGCAGGAGCTGGAGATGGTAATTCTGTGGATTTCCCAGTGCCACTTCCTTGTTGAATTGAACCATCAACAATCTTGTTTGCCAATGTTGCTGGTATTTCTGAATTTTGTACTTGCATTCCACGAGGTGGAAGGCCTTCATTCAGAATCCCTTGTTGACTAACGAGCATATGAGGAGGCATAATGATAGGAGTTTCTCCGATGACAGGTTTATGAGAAGGAATAAAGCCATGATTAATGAGATATTGATCATTAGGTTCCCCGTGGTGCATCATTTGATCACCGTAAAACGGTGGATATTTTTCATAAGAATTTGAGGAAGTTGGTAGCACAGGTAGTGAAGACTGAATGCTCAATGATGAGTCAAAATTGTTAGTCAAGGGAGCATTGCCTTGTGCGATGGAATCTACACCAACTCTACTAGTCTCCTTGTCAATACTTTGCCTGTCCAATTCATTTATATCATTTGCAGAGAAACTGACACCAATCATGGTTGTGTTTTTTCTTGATCCCAAGTCCATGCCATTAACGGCAACAACATACTGGATCTCAGAATCATCACCCACGCTGCTGAGACAAAACTGAGCATCCTCCAAATCACTCATTGAGAACAAAAACATCCTAAGCTTTTGTGATCCTTCTCTATCTTCTAGATGATTGCATTCTTCCATCATATTCTGCAAATCTTCATCAGATGACACAGATACCAAAGCATCAAGATCTTCCCCAGGAAGCTGATACTTGATTGCATGAACCTGATTATAAATTTGTAATGCTTTCTGCATGAGCTCCAGCCAAGATATATCCTTTCTTATTCGAAGAATGCGTGTTTGACCCCCGACATACCTTAGCTTTCCATCACATGGTCGTGGCAATATTCTGCCACCAAAGCTGCAAAGAAATTTCATCATTATTGATCTATCATGAACTCCAAAAGAGCCATATCCAGGTACAACTTGTCTATTGTCCTGATTCAATGAAGTTCTTGGCATTGATCGGATCGACCCATAATTGCTTCTGTCCCCAGGTAACGATGTGTTCATTCTATCAAACTCTTTTGGATATTTATCAACCACTGAAAGCATAGAAATATCAGATCCACTTTCAGACCCTGCATGGCTGATGCCTAAAATGCCTTTCAGTTCCATATAACCTGGAGTATAATTGGATTCGCTGGCATTTGATAATACAGGCTTCCTGATATTCACCCTATCTCTCATGAATTCAAGAGCAAATTCCTCACCTGTCTGTATGGAGTAATTAAGTACAGGTTTAACTTCTGATGTGTTGAGGTCATCTGGTCTTCTACTGGTATGTATGCCATTCAGATGGTCCTGCAAAACTGACTGTGACCCAGGCTGGTGGTATTCATCATTTCTAGGTTCCATGTTAGCGCACAGAATCGTGTTTTGGAATCTTGATTGTTCCATCACATCATCTTTTTCTTCTTTATAATAGAAAAATACATTAAAAATCTGAGTCAAAAAGCTCTACAAATTTAGTAACTGAGCAGTTTTAGTCACCATATAGGAATTTGAAGAAGCATCTGTAACCACTGAAAACTGTTGTACTTTCTCTCCGAAAATGCAAAGTAAATATAAAAGCAATTTCCCTGTAAGCACAACGGAACCAAAACAAGTTCTAGCAATAAATTAACATGCAGTGAGATGTCACCTATAAAAATTAAAAAGAAGGCCACACAATGCCCACATCATTTACAAAGTTAACATTAACAACTTTCAATGTAACAAATAACTTTGGTACTATATGATGGATTTGGGGTATGACTTCATTGACCATAAATAACGATATCATGCAAATTACAGAATGTCTCAGTAAGTAATCAATAACATTGCCATTTATAAGCTCTTCATTTGATTAATCCAAAATGTTTTTAGATACTGATTTCCACAAAATGTCTTAAGCTTTTTATGATTTAATAAGCATGAATACTAACATACCGATTGCATTCACAGGTAAATCAGCCAATATTCAAAAACAGTTGCAAGAGGCAGTTAAGCAAGAGAGAGCATCACCAATCCAAAAACAATGAAACAAACACCAATGAACAAAAATAGAAAAACTTAAACATACCAAACTTGGTCATAATCTAGACTCCACTAGAAACACAATCAGAACCCCTTCAACTCCATCTAAATCCCTAAACCCAATACATTCAATCTAGGGTTCTGCCCCAATAGTTGAGCTTCACAATGAGGCACACAAAATCAAAAATAGAAAAGCCAACTAAGAGAACAGAATATGAAACTGAATCTAACCACCCAATGAAGCAAAAACGCCAATAGAAAAAACAAAACTCTCTCTTAACCAATGCTCTCAGCTCAAAAGATGCAGCTACGGGTGAAGAAGGGATCACAATAAAGACCAAATTTTGAATCCAAAAATAGAGGTTTGAGAGGAAAAGGAAACGAACCCACTTGTTTTTTCGTCAATGGGTATCACGCAATAACGTTGGTTTCACACCAGAGTGTTAAGCAACTTGTACTTCAAGTTGTTGAACTCCTTTCTGCAGAAAAAGACGGTTCTTTTCTCTCTCCACCAGTTGCACCCACCGTCCTTTCCGTTTTCGTTTCTGCTGAAATTAGATTTATTATTCATTTATTTATTATTTATTTCTGCATTTAGTCAAACGAGAAAAAATCAATCTAGCTGCTTCCTTACAGATAAATACAGAAGCGACAACGTGACCATTTCTCGCGCCCAACTTTCTTTTTGTTAAATAGTGTGCATTCATATTTCAAAAAAAAATAAATTTAAATGATATATTTAAGTATATTTTTAAGTCTTTATAATATAGCTTTTTATTTCCATCTTTATAAGTTTATTGTTGAAAAATAGTTATAAAAAATATATTTTATTTTAATCATTTTTATTTTACTTTATTTATTATTATGTATATATTTTTTATTTAATTTATTATAATATTTTGATATTATAAATTAGTCCTTTTGAAAAAAAATGTAGGATTAAAAATAAAGTATTCACATGTTACAAAGATAGAAAAAAAAAAGTATATCACATTGACTAAATTAAAAAAAAAATAAGACAACTATTTTAAAATAATTTTATAAAGATTATAAACCAAAAAGCTAGTATATTGCATGAATCAATAATGTCTTTAAATCAGTTAAGCATATTTAATTATTAACTAAACAATAAAAATTACTTTTATTATTGTATTTAGAAGACATTGTAATATTATATCTAAAGTTAATAAATTGTAAATTTATTTATGCAAATTGACAATCATATTAATCAATTAAAATAAATTGTGACTAAAATGATAAAAATGATATATATTAAAGGATTAAATTACCGGTAACTACTTAATTAATATGACAACATCTTTCAAATTCAAGAATGAAAGTGAACATTTATTATTATTATTAAAAAATAAACAATCACTTTTATCTTAATAATGATAATTGTGATATTATAATTGATGAGGTTCTTCTTGAAGAAAATCTCAAGGAATGTTCTTCAATTCTTCTCGGATCCTTGGAAGAATGGCAAGGATTGGAAGCTCCAAGAAGAACAAGTGTAGTCAAGTATAACCTAGCTATCTCAGATAGAAAGTGATGACGCCTAACACTACAAGGAGAGGATCTCAAGTAGGGTAGAGTTTAGGCGAAGGGAGACTTTCGGAGGAGAGATTTCAAGAGTAGAATTCTCATTCAATTAATTTCAAAAGTGTTTACAAACTCGACCAAGAAGGAATTTATAGGCAAAATTAGGTCAAGGGTGCACGTTAGGTTAGCCTAAGGTTAAGTAAAACCATGGTATGGTTTACTTAACCTTAGGCGCCAAAATTTGAATTCAAATATTCAAATTTTGGTGTCAACCGGTCACCTCCCCCATGTGCACTCATTTGGATGTAATTTGGTATCCATTTGAGTTGCATTTTGGTCACACCATGTACATGTGTGCACATGGCCGAAATGCATACCAAATGTCATACTAATTACATGCAAATGCATATGCACATGTTAACCTAAATTAACCCTAAATTCACATTGGCATTAAATGTAAATCCTAGTCTAGGTGGCCGAAAATACAAGGCCTAAAAATGCAATACAAGCCCTAAGGCCCAAACCTACACTACTCCTACACTACTTGGGCTTGAGTCAAAGCCCAACTGAAAAGTGTGATGGGCTTTTCTTGAGCATGGGCCCACTCTTCTTGAATCCTCTTGGCCATAGCCCTGGTAGTTGGGCCCTTGGCCCATGGGCCTCCTCCATCATCCCCTCCCTCTTGAAGAGGATTTGTCCTCAAATCCAAAGCTTCCTCCTCTTGGGCAGCAAGTCCTGTAAAAAGAGATAAATCAGAAACATTGAAGCTAGGACTAACCTCATATTCAGAGGGGAGATCTAAGACATAGGCATTATTGTTTATTTTCTTGAGGATTTGAAAGGGTCCATCTCCTCTAGAACTAAGTTTTGACTTTCTTTTGGAAGGAAACCTATCCTTCCTAAGGTGTAGCCAAACCCAGTCACCTTCATTGAAGACAACTTTCTTTCTACCCTTGTTATTGTATTTTGCATATGTTTCTGTTTGGGATTGAATATGATTCCTAACCCTCTCATGCAAGTTTTTGACAAAATCAGCCCTAGATGTGCCTTCTTTATGGATAAAAGAAGTGACATCGGGAAGGGGTAATAAATCTAAAGGAGTGAGAGGATTTCACGACTTCAGCTAGAGAGAAAGAAATTAGCAACAAGGTTAAGGGCTTGAGAGAATTCCACCAGCAAAGAGAGTGAATGAGAGAGTTTTGAGTGAGTGAGAGTTGAGAAAAGAGAGGAAGAGTCTACGGGGTCTCACACACAACATTTTTAATAAGTCCATTTAAAAATCACTTGTTTCACATTTTGTGTCCTACTACTTTAAACAAACAAAATCTCAATAGACTACATGAAAACTTTTTCGTTTAGGCACACAGAAAAAATAAGGCTTTTTGGCCATTGTGGGATTTTTTTTTCAAACTATTTACGTAAATAAGACTATTGTGAGATATATTACATCTTTAGAGTTATTTTAAACAATGTTGTGAGTTATAGAGACACCTATGACACATGTCATTTTGTTTTGACCCAACAAAAGTCGTTGTATGCTACAACAATTGCAATTAAAGTCAACACATGTCGTTATAGACTATAACTACAACGATCTCATTATATAATTTTTGATTTTTTTTTACTTTTAAGGTTGTCGTTATAGTCCACAATGACCCTCTTTTTTTACACGTAGGGGGTTGATGTGGGTTACAACACCCCCCATTAATTTTTTTTTGGGTGGCTATAGTCCTCAACAACCCTTTTTTTTCATCGCACATTCTACCAATAAGAATGCATCATGTGACCCCAATAGACAACATTTTTCTTTAGAGATTGCTATAGCCAACAACAATAACATTAGTGTAGTTGTGATCCTTGTGGACCATAGTGACACACACAAAAAAATAATAATAACGTCGTTGTGACTGATAACGACACACACAAATATGAATATATATATATATATATATCGAATGTCATCTCTACGCCCGGCACGCTCATGGTCGCGCCTGGCGTGGCACAACTAGAGAGCATCAAGGCTCAGCGCGCTCGGTGCAATTCCCATTGTGCCCGGTTGTGCTAGGAGGCAGAGACCCTCAAAGGTCTCACACGCCCGGCATGGCAAACCCGCGCTCGGTGCAGGGTAACCACAGACTTCCCCAAAGTCTCACGCTCGGCACAATAATAATTGTGCCCGGAGCCACCTCCAGCAGAGACTCTCAAGGAGTCTCCACGCTCGGCGAGACAAGGTCACGCACGGCGCCACACCAGAAACCCCCAAAAGCATGTCACATACTGATATCATGCCCATCGTGGTCCTACCACGCCCGGCGTGGGCCAACTAGAGGCTCACATTCTCAAGCTTGCCCGGCGCACACATCTTTGCGCCTGGTAGGCTTGCCCAAATGGAGCCCCCTGGTGGTCACGCGCTTGGCACGAAGAACTGCGCCCGGCGTGATACCCAGCAGCAACCCTCAAACTTTCGAAAATCTCTTCAAAACCTGCAAAACCAACCAGGCAATCCAAATGCAAACCATCCAAAAGTCCACATTTACATCTAAGAGTTCAAAAACATCATCTTTTTCAACATGCAACCATCAAATGAGAAAAACCCAAATTTCACCCGAAACCTCGAAAACCCGAAAACTAATTTTTCTTCAATTTCAGCCAAAGATCATCCATCAACAAGCAGCCAATGAGTTTCTAAGACTCATTCTCAACAAAAAACAGCAAAACCTAGCTTCCCTTACCTCGGTGAAGAAATCCGAGCTCCGGGAAGAGGATGAACGAGAAGAAGAAGAGAATTCTGCACGCAACTAGCTCCGAACGGCTTCAAGATTACGAGAAAGGACCTCCAAGATTACTCACGACTTCAGCTAGAGAGAAAGAAATTAGCAACAAGGTTAAGGGCTTGAGAGAATTCCACCAGCAAAGAGAGTGAATGAGAGAGTTTTGAGTGAGTGAGAGTTGAGAAAAGAGAGGAAGAGTCTACGGGGTCTCACACACAACATTTTTAATAAGTCCATTTAAAAATCACTTGTTTCACATTTTGTGTCCTACTACTTTAAACAAACAAAATCTCAATAGACTACATGAAAACTGAGGACCCTTCTCAACATAAGAAGTTCCCCATTGTAAGGGTAAGTAACCTCACATGACTCTCCCTCACTTGCTTCTTCTTCATCCTCACTTGAAGATGGAGAAGTAGTAGCTTCATCTTGGCTACTTTAAATGGCTTAGCCCCTTAGTATCATGACCTTTTTGTTAGGGCATTGAGAAGCAATGTGGCCTCTCCCAAGACACTTAAAGCACTTTATGTCACTAGATTTGGTGCTAATGTGTGAGGTGTTTTTCTTTTCTTTTTCTTCTTTTCTTTTTACCTTTGTCTAGATTTTTGGAGGAATCAAAATTATTTTTCTTCTCAAAAGTTTTTCCCTCTCTCTTGTAGTCATTCTTTAAATAAGAAGATGAGTATGAGCTTGTTTTGAAATTTTTCCTCAAATTTTGTTGTTCAATTGATACAAAGTTGAACTAAGTCATTCAAATCTCTATAATGTAAAAGCTCAACCTTATCTCTTATTTCAAAAGTTAGACCATCTTTAGAGTTATTTTAAACAATGTTGTGAGTTATAGAGACACCTATGACACATGTCATTTTGTTTTGACCCAACAAAAGTCGTTGTATGCTACAACAATTGCAATTAAAGTCAACACATGTCGTTATAGACTATAACTACAACGATCTCATTATATAATTTTTGATTTTTTTTTACTTTTAAGGTTGTCGTTATAGTCCACAATGACCCTCTTTTTTTACACGTAGGGGGTTGATGTGGGTTACAACACCCCCCATTAATTTTTTTTTGGGTGGCTATAGTCCTCAACAACCCTTTTTTTTCATCGCACATTCTACCAATAAGAATGCATCATGTGACCCCAATAGACAACATTTTTCTTTAGAGATTGCTATAGCCAACAACAATAACATTAGTGTAGTTGTGATCCTTGTGGACCATAGTGACACACACAAAAAAATAAT